TGAGTGCAGCCCCATGTTGCTGAAGTTGTAGAACTGCTCACATCGTGGCCAGTGATGTCCGGTGATTGCTCAGCATAAAGTCTGAATCTCTCATTACAGGCTGAAGGAAGCTAAGACAACCCTGCTTCACGCTGGGCTCAGCTACACGTCAGATCCTGCTGTTACAGGTTGTCCTTCATCACCTGGCATTCAACAGGTTGTCCTTCATCACCTGGCATTCAACAAGTTGTCCTTCATCACCTGGCATTCAACAGGTTGTCCCTTCATCACCTGGCATTCAACAGCCATTTTTTTACAGCCAGTGACTGTAAAGCATGGTGGAGGATCAGACTTTTGGGAGAGAAGGTCTGCGCAAAGCACAGGATGGCATGGCACATCAGAAACCAACCAGACAAGATCCACAAAGCAGGGCAAATCCACTTCCACCAGAACTACTTGAATGCCCTCCTGTTCTATCCTCCATAACAACCGGGGTAGGAGCTTTGGGGTAGTAAAGACATATATAAGGAATATCAGGGAGTACTGCACTTTCCCCACAGAGCCACCAGTGCATCTGATGCATTGGTCCAGGGAATCCTCGTCCTGGCCACAAACCAAGGAACTTTCTGATTGGGTCTGGCCACAAGGAAATCCACGTCAGTTGTGCCCCAGCACTGACAAATCTGGTGAAAGACATCTGTGTGTAGAGACCGCTGCCCTTCATCCAGACATCAACTCCAGGGATGTGGACAGCAGACAGGGCCAGTACATGGAGTTCCACCTAATCAAGGGTCTGAGCCGCCTCCAACACAACTACGGGCCTCTTGGTGCCGCCATGGTGAATGATGTAGGCCACAGCCGTGGTGTTGTCTGAATGAACCTGGATTGGGTAATATTAAAGAACCATCTAATGGGAGAGCGAGAGAGATGGATTGCCCTGAACTCCAGGATAATGATGGAAAGCTTGGTTTCCTCTTGAGTCCATTGACCCATCACTCCCCCCAATCAGTAGGCTGGCATCTGTCTTGGTATCCTAACCTGGAGAGGGAGAAAGGACTGTCTGGACAGCAGTAAGAGAGTGCAAACTTACCAGGACAGCAATGCTTGTGTTGGGCAAAACGGGGGAACGGCCCTGACCAGCATCCCTAGAACATTGTTGCAATCGACTGTGGAGACAAGCTTTTTGTCAGATCTGGAGAACTTTTGTGGGATACTTTAAACCAGGCGACATGGTGAGCTTATTTTTGGAGGAGAAACTGGTGACAGTTGGCAGATAGTTGACAGTTGGGACCTCTTAAAAGACAACCTGGGGCAAAGGAAAACCCAAACTGCACCCACCCAAGGCAGAATGCTCACAGTCTGCAACAGCTCCTTGTGTATGTAGTCCCAAAGCAGTAACCTACCTAAAAGCCGGTGTCTCTGTGGGAGGGCAAATGCCTCTGATCTACAATCCAGGCTTTGCCATCCCAGTTGTGGTGCCACAATGGTATGAAAATAAACCATTTTATGTGTCTACCATGGGGCTGGGTCCCTCTGCGCCACTTCACAAGACGTAGAATCATCACAGCCGAGCCCACCAGGTCAAGAAACTGCATGCCCAAGGAGGCAGTGCTGGGGAGACTACCAGGATCTATATATATGGCCTATCACCCAGCACTGCAGTACATTGAAGATAAAAAAAATCAATTGCCAGGAACAAAAAACCCTAGAAAAATGTCTAGATCCCAAATCCTAAGCACTAGAGAATAAAAAAAGTTGAAGATAAGAGGGTTTGGCCACCAGCCTGCCCTAGGAAGTTATTGTTGTACCTGGTGTACTATTCCTGCAGGTGGCATCATAACCCAGGGGGCACAATCTATAGTTCTGGCTCTGTCCTTCAATGAACAGATGAGAAAGTTAATTTTTAAAAGTAGAACTGAAGGCAAAATTTTTTTTTTTTTACACTATTTTAGATATGAGTAAGGGAGAGTTTATAACCCCACATTTTTCCCTTTTTTGCCATCTGTGTTCTATTGGTGAGATTTACCTGCAGTTCCAGCAGAGATTCCTTTGTTCCTCAGGACCTGGGCTTGAACAGCCATATAATTAAAGCCAGGGACAGTGAAAAAGGATGGCAAATCGGTTCATGGGACAGAAGATACTGACGATCCGGCAGTGTCCACTGAGCATATGCTCAGCATAACATATATGCCAGTCCAGAGCAATGGGGATCACCAATATTACCCTTCATCTGAGCAAACAAGGTCAGATAGACCTCTCAGGTGAGGGAAGGCATAGATCAGGCTACATTGATCCCTTGGAGCCACCAGAGCATCCACCAATACCACTAGAGGATCCCTGTGCCAAAGTCAAACCTGCTCATTCTGTTGCTGAACCTGAATATCCACATCCAGCATCCCCCGCCCCTTCCCTGTGACACAGGTCCTGGAAAAGCTTTTGGTTTAGAGCCCAGTCCCACAGGTCCAGGGTCTGCTGGCTGAGGATATCTGCCCAAGAAATGGCCTATGCCTGGAATGTAAATGGCTGACGAGGCTGGAATATGAAGTTCTGACCAGGCCAGGATTCAGCCTACCACTCATGCTGCAGCAAGACTTACCCGATGACTGATGTACACCACTACCATAGTGTTGTCTGAAGCCAGACAGGATAGTCCAGTGCTGCAAACACAGCCAGATCACCCAAAGCTCCAGGATGTTGACCGAGAGAACTCAGACAAAAGTCCCCTGCACTAGCACAGTGACAAGGACTCCTAAACAGTCTATCAGGCCGACACCTGCAGTTGAGGATTCTCCAAAAAACTGGAAGGACTACCTTCACGCCAAAGCCAGATTCCAGAGCTACCAAAACTAGGGACAACCTGGCCCTCAGCGATAGAAAATTAAGTCTGTCCAGAGATCAAATCAACCTGTCCCACAACAGAATGTTGCAATTTAGAGGTCTGAAGTAAAACTGCGCAAATGGAACTACTTTAGAAGAGGCTGCCATCAGACCTCGGGACACTTATGCAGGTAGCTGGACAAAGACTGGAGAATTTGATGTTTCTTCTGTGGAAGGAATACTATGGTCTAAGATGTGTTCGGGACTTGACCCCAATAGCCAAAACAATGAGCAATCTTGGAGGCTGTGTATGTATCCCACAACGTGGTTGCAATGAGATCTCAACAGGGCCAGTGCTCGAGCCAGCACATTGGTGAATATCTCAGATGCAGAAAAGACACCAAGGGGTAGGGACCATAAGCTGGAAGTGTAGGGGCCCCACAGCAAGGCACAGGAATTGCTGATGCACTGGAAAATGGGGGACATGACGATAAGCATCCTTGAGGTCTACAGAAGGCAGAATGTCTCCCTGGAGAAGGGAGGCAACAGATTCAGTGCAGAAGTTCTGGACCCACACAGACAGATTTGAGGTTCAAGATTTTGGGTAATGTGAACAGGTTACAGTAAAACAGGTCAGAACCGTACACATCTGAAACCATTCAGCAATTATCTGCTATCATGGTTGGGCACTCAAGCAGCTTGCGCATATACCAGGTGACCGGGGCCCGTGGAGAGCGGATATAGTGAATGCGGGGTCCGGGGAGAGCGGATATAGTAAATGCGGGGTCCGGGGAGAGCGGATATAGTGAATGCGGGGTCCGGGGAGAGCGGATATAGTGAATGCGGGGTCCGGGGAGAGCAGATAGTGAATGCGGGGTCCGAGGAGACCGGATATAGTGAATGCCGGGTCCGAGGAGACCGGATATAGTGAATGCCGGGTCAGAGGAGACCGGATATAGTGAATGCCGGGTCCGAGGAGACCGGATATAGTGAATGCCGGGTCCGAGGAGACCGGATATAGTGAATGCAGGGTCCGGGGAGAGCGGATATAGTGAATGCAGGGTCCGGGGAGAGCGGATATAGTGAATGCCGGGTCCGAGGAGACCGGATATAGTGAATGCCGGGTCCGAGGAGACCGGATATAGTGAATGCAGATGCACAATGGAAAGCAGTGACGGACATAGTGAATGCGGGGTCTGGGAAGACTAGATATAGTGAATGCAGAGTCCGGGGAGAGCATATAGTGAATGCGGGGTCCGGGGGAGAGCGGATATAGTGAATGCGGGGTCCGGCGAGAGCGGATATAGTGAATGCGGGGTCCGGCGAGAGCAGATATAGTGAATGCGGGGTCCGGGGAGAGGAGCGGGTCGGGGAGATAGTGAATGCAGGGTCCGGGGAGAGCAGATATAGTGAATGCAGGGTCCGGGGAGAGACCAGATATAGTGAATGCAGGGTCCGGGGAGACCAGATATAGTGAATGCAGGGTCCCGGGAGACCAGATATACTGAATGCAGGACGATGCTTAAGTCTCTGAACAAGATCTTTAGGGCAGAAGGATCCTCCGGGGGAATTTTTTTTTTACACTGTTATTGCTTATAGTGATGATCACGGTTATAAAAAAAAAATAGTTTTAACTATCATGAATGGCTTTCCATTCATGAGAGCTTGCTTACTGTTGACATGCTGTAATTGGCTACAGCTAATCACATGAGTAAAGGTTGCCAGGTACCATGTGATAGCTGTGGGACAATCACAGCATAACCGTAAGCAAGCTGCACCGGACACACCAGTCACAAGGCTGCGCCCCAGGGCTGTGGAAGTACACATGTGCCAGGTGACATACCAGTAAGTAGCTGAGCCTGGCTGTGCCACCAACCCTCAGTAAATGTGCTGTGGGCAGGCCAGCAAGTGGTTAATAAGCTGCAGGCCCTGTAAGTAGAAAGTGTTTCATTCAATTTGCAGTAAAAGGACTAAAAACAATCACATTTTACTTTGTTTATTAAAACAAAACAAACAAAATACAACTAATGTCAGATCTACAGCATGTGCAGGTTAAACCTTCATTGTGACATCTTCTGAAATGGCAACGGACTCTTCTGTAGTGAAGTAATCACCGTTCAACTAGAACAAAACTTGAATCAGTTATAAAAGAAAAACATTAAAACGATGTAATTAACCGTTCCGCTAACGAGACCTATATGATCAGTTATGAACGAAACGTAGAGGATCAGCATTGCGCCCAGAATCGTGCAGGAATGGAGACAGATACGGGTACAGCTTCTCTCCGTGAAGGTGGCATTGAAGGTATAGATGGCGGTCATGTCATCGGCATTGTAGAAGGATATCTGGCCTCCTTCGTAATCCACATACACGCCGATTTTCTTCGGTTTGGAGTTGAGAAACAGGCTCTTGGATGGTGACTCCAGGGCCTTGTAGGCATTGCCGCTCCTCAGCCAGATTGCCCAGTAGCCGTTCTTGGGATTCAGCTTGATCTTACCCTTGCGGTTGCTGGACTCACTGGCCATACCGACATCCCAAGCGGTCTTGTCTCCCACATCCACCTCCCAGTAATGGCGGCCTGAATCGAAGCCCTGAGAGCCGAGCACAAGGATACACTGGCTGAAACGCTTCAGATTGTCAGGAAGGGGGAGCTTGGTGTCACCGTATTTAACGCTGGTCAGCCCGTCGGACAGGATCAGATTGGGGTGAGCCGTGATAGGATCCAGCAGCATCGGAGTCAGATCTGCAAGACAATAAAACGCATTGTACTTGTCAGTTGAGGTGGTCAATACCGAGGTTAGGAAGTCAAACCTGGGGACCAGTCAATGCCATTCATTACAAGATTAAAAACAAAATAAAATAAATAGCAGCAGCTCAATTCCCCCTTCCCAGCAGCAACTCAGCTCAGCTTCCCTCCCAGCAGTGACTTGATGGCCAATTTCTTCTGCTCCTCCAACAGTGACTTATGACAGCTGGCTCTAAGCATGCAGATAAGAATCAAAGCCATATGTCCATCCTCACTCCAGCCCGGTACTCCACTGCCTGCTGCAGGGGCAGAATGGAAAGCAGTGACGGACAGTCACAGCTCTCAGCTCCAAAAGGACAGAGAACACAGTGATTGGTGGTGATTAGAGATGAGCGAATCGAACCAGGCGAACCGGAATTCGATACGAATTTCAGGAAAAATTCGATTCGCGTCGAATCCGAATATTTGCCTACTTCGGGTGCGCGAATCGGATTTTTCCCGATCAGCCGGCAAAAGTGTCCCTGCAGAGAGCTCCGCTATTTCTGACAGTTCTCTGACAGAAGGAACACATGTACAGCGGTTGAAACATTGTATCTATTAGTTTCCATTTAGGATACAGATGTTTCAACCGCTGTACATGTGAAGAAGCTGTCAGAGAACTGTCAGAAATAGAGGAACTCTGCACATACACTTTTTGCCGGTTTGGAATTCTTATTTTCATCCTACTTCTTCTTCTTCTTCTTCTACTTCTTCATCCTCATCCTCAGAAGAAGAAGAAGAGGATGAGGATGAAGAAGTAGGATGAAAATAAGAATAATTCCAAGCCGGCAAAAAGTGTATCTGCAGAGCTCCTCTAAGTGTATCTGCAGAATGTCATTTATGGAAACAAATAGATACAATGTTTCAACCGCTGTATGGAGTGAATGTCCCAGAACTGTCAGAAATAGACAGAAACTGTCACAGAACTGTCCTTCTCATCCTTCTCCTTCTCCTCATCCTTCTTCTTCTCATCCTTCTCATCCTTCTCCTTCTTCTCATCCTTCTCCTTCTTCTCATCCTTCTCCTTCTTCTCATCCTTCTCCTTCTTCTCATCCTTCTCCTTCTTCTCATCCTTCTTCTCTTCTTCTCATCCTTCTCCTTCTCCTTCCTCATCTCCAAGGGCATTTAAATTAAAGGTACAGTGTTCTGCACTAATTTAAAGGCTCTCTGAAGCCTAGAAAAACCCTTTTTATAAGTTAACTTCGTAGCGAATTAATTCGCATCGAATCAAATTTCTTCCTGGAATTCGCCGAATCAGCCGAATCGAATTTTTGAAAAATTCGCTCATCTCTAGTGGTGATGTGATCGCTCAGTTCCCAAGCATAGAGAACCAGTTGGGAGCAGCTTCAGCATCAAAATAGAGGCATGCAGTAATATGTAGGTTTTGTTTTTTTTATAAACTCCATATATCTCCTTTAAGCAGACTAAAAGGTTCAGTTTCTTGGCACAGCTCCACTTAGGGTCGGTGCCTGACCCAGCATATACTGAGTCTTCCTAAATCTAGAAGGAAAAATCCCTACCAGACACCATGATAGAAATGCCTTGCCTAATAATACATAAAGTGTTACTAAACCCACAACAGTGACATCAGTCTGTATATGCAGTAAAGCGTGCTTGTTATACTCACTGTGGATATAGTGAATGCGGAGTCCGGGGAGACCAGATATAGTGAATGCGGGTCCGGGGAGACCAGATATAGTGAATGCGGGGTCCGGGGAGACCAGATATAGTGAATGCGGGGTCCGGGGAGACCAGATATAGTGAATGCGGGGTCCGGGGAGACCAGATATAGTGAATGCGGGGTCCGGGGAGACCAGATATAGTGAATGCGGGGTCCGGGGAGACCAGATATAGTGAATGCGGGGTCCGGCGGAGAGCGGATATAGTGAATGCGGGGTCCGGGGAGACCGGATATAGTGAAATGCGGGGTCCGGGGAGACCGGATATAGTGAATGCGGGGTCCGGGGAGAGCGGATATAGTGAATGCGGGGTCTGGGGAGAGCGGATATAGTGAATGCGGGGTCCGGGGAGACCGGATATAGTGAATGCGGGGTCCGGGAGACCGGATATAGTGAATGCGGGGTCCGGGGAGAGCGGATATAGTGAATGCGGGGTCCGGGGAGACTGGATATAGTGAATGCGGGGTCCGGGGAGACCGGATATAGTGAATGCGGGGTCCGGGGAGACCGGATATAGTGAATGCGGGGTCCGGGGAGAGCGGATATAGTGAATGCGGGGTCCGGGGAGAGCGGATATAGTGAATGCGGGGTCTGGGGAGAGCGGATATAGTGAATGCGGGGTCTGGGGAGAGTGGATGCAGGGTCCGGGAGAGCGGATATAGTGAATGCGGGGTCCGGGGAGAGCGGATATAGTGAATGCGGGGTCTGGGGAGAGTGGATGGGGTCCAGGGAGAGCGGATATAGTGAATGCGGGGTCCGGGGAGAGCGGATATAGTGAATGCGGGGTCCGGGGAGAGCGGATATAGTGAATGCGGGGTCTGGGGAGAGCGGATATAGTGAATGCAGGGTCCGGGGAGAGCGCATATAGTGAATGCGGGGTCCGGGGAGAGCGGATATAGTGTGAATGCGGGGTCCGGGGAGAGCGGATATAGTGAATGCTGGGTCCGGGGAGAGCGGATATAGTGAATGCAGGGTCCAGGGAGAGCGGATATAGTGAATGCAGGGTCCGGGGAGAGCGGGATATAGTGAATGCAGGGTCCAGGGTTTAGTAACACTTTAACTGCATTGTACGAATACTATATTGTCAAATGTGAAAATATTTTTAAACCAGAACTTACACGGCACAACAACAGACTTCATCTGCTTCCACAAGGAGTACTGAATCGGTCCCTTGAAAGTCCCCTGGCACAAGTCTTTCTCAATGAGAGTGTTTGCAGAGGACATGACCTCTTTTTGCTGTTCCTGACACCTGGGAAGAAAGCATACGTACACGGAGTAATGTAGGATTTTACATGGTGTAGGAACATATAAGTGGTCCACGACCCAAAAAGGCCAACCCACAAACAGCAAGACCCTTATTACATGAACATTCAAGAACTTGGCAAGAAAGAATTACAACGGATGAGTTTTTAAAGGTGAGAACTTTCTAGGCCTATCGTCTTTATGCCGAGTTCACTACCTAGTGGGTCAATGACCTGAAAGAAGCATGCAGCCATTGAAACCTGACAAATCTGAAATCCCATTCTGTGTTTTTTGAGTGTGCTCCCATAGAACTACCAGCACCGGATCCCCTTACAGGGTAAGCATACCATTAAGCCTGTAAGGACTATTCCCAGCAACATGTAGCCCTGCAATATACACCCGGAAATATTTCCTTAGAAACCGCAATGACTGACAGCTGTACAGTTATGGAGGAAACATTTGAGAGAAGGAAAGACAGGTGAATGGCACTTTACATGCCGTATGACATACCGAAAAAAAAAAAACATTTAGAGGCACCCTGCCAATGGATGGAGACCAAGACAATACAAACCTTCATGGATACTGAGGTGACCTGCTTTGATATAACTAGCATTGTCTTTACTAACATCTTCCGGTAATTTATTTTAGGACATCAGAGAGAAAATCTCTAATAGAATTATAAAAACCAAAGTTTTGATGTTAGACTTGGCAATGTGTCTCAGGCCAGCCTGAGCAGCAACATTCAGAAGCAGTTGTGCTCCAAGAGAATCTGCAACTCTTTTCATAGCCACCTTGATGTGAGTGTGTTTCTCGAGAACCGACAATTTACATGGTGATGGTTACCCTGAGGTGAGCATTCTTTGAGGAACTGCAACTCCTCTGGTCATGGTTACCTTCATTTTAGTGTTCCAAGAGAATAGACAACTCGCCTGGTTACAACTATCTTGAAGTGTGTTCCACGAGAAAGGACAACTCCTCTAGTCATGGCCACCTTGACACGACCGTGTCCCATAAGAACCAGCAACTCACTCGGTCATAACTAGCTTGAAATGTGTTCCATGAAAACCTAAAACTCACCTGGTCATGACCATCTTGACACGACCGTGTCCCATAAGAACCAGCAACTCACTCGGTCATAACTAGCTTGAAATGTGTTCCATGAAAACCTAAAACTCGCCTGGTCATGACCATCTTGACACGACCCTGTCCCATAAGAACCAGCAACTCACTCGGTCATAATTAGTTTGAAATGTGTTCTATGAAAATCTGCACCTCTCCCGGTCGCGGCCACCTTGATGTGAGCATGTTTCATGACTGCCTGTAACATCCACTGATCATGGCCACCTGGATGCGAGTGGTTTCATGAGTACCTGCAACTCCTCTGTCCAAGGCAAACTGCATGCGAGTGCTCAACGAGTACCCATAACTCCTCTGGTCAAGGCTATCTGGATGTGAGTGTGTGCCAAGAAAACCTACAATGCCTCTGGTCATGGCTACCTGGTGCTCTATTTATCCTTTGGGACAAGATGTGAATCGTCTGCAGTTCTCAGGGAAAGGCTGCACGGCACAAGATTCTAATTCAAGGGTTGCAGTCCATCTCGAAAAGCAGAAAACCCTACTTGACATTTTTGGGGATTACAGGAAATCAGAGGAAACCGATTTCATTTTGTTGGCAATGACAGAAAGCATGTTTAGCATGCTGATGGATTTGTGTTACTACAGTTTCTATTAAAATCCCCTAAAGCAATGAAATTGAGCTGATATATATTAAAAAAAAAAATAAAATACACTTACGTCTCAATGAATGACTTGATGTCCTGCAAAAGGAAGACACAGAACAATGTAAGGTGAGATTCAAAGACAACTAAAAGCCCAACATACAATGAGATCTGTTGGCTCCACTCACAGTCAGGAAAGAAATGGAGTCCGTATCATCCAACCTCTCCTTCGCCACGGCGATATGCTGCCTGACGTTGTTTCCACTCTCCTGCATCTTGGCCACGTTGGTCTCCATTTCCTTCAGTAGACTCTCACCCTCTTCCTGGAGCTGCTCCAGCAGTTTCTCCTCTCGCTCCTTCAGGAACTTGTGCAGCTTCTCAAACTCCGAAACAATGTGCTCCCGGTACTCCTTCATGTGGGACTGGGGGGTGGAAGAGAAGGTTACCGTTCAGAGATAGACAGATCTGCATTTAAAAGTCACCCCAATATCAAATCAATCAAAAGGATTCAAAAAGGGACAACACCTTTTTTTGGAAGGTAAATTATAAAGGCTGATATTCCAGATATCTATTGGGGAGCTATATCCTTGAAGTCATTATGCGCCTCTTCCTTCTCTGCCAATCCCAATCCCTCCACTGACATACGCTCGCCCAACAAATAAAATTCAGAATGCTAACATACAAAGCCATCCACAACTTCAAGAGCAACTCCACTGTTGTTGAGATAAACTTTCTGCTCTGGGTGATCGATGTACATTGCAGGGATTTTACCAAACTTTGTTGCAGAGTCCTACCTTTTGTTATTCTGAAGAAACAGCTCTTTGTTTGTCTGTGTCCATGTCCAGAGTGAATTCAATGGGAGTGATTTTATAATTACCAATCAGCTGCTGCACCAGCAAAACTATGATGAGGAATGTGGCAGGGTCTGCATCCCTTTAGAAGCGACCTCCCACCAAAAATTACATTCACATAATCCGTGAAATATATTCCAGGTGCATAAGGTGTCTCTGGCTCTGTCACCTTCTCCCCCTGTGTGTCTCCTTTGCAAGCCCGGTTCTATGGCAGCACATGTGCTCCCAAGCCCAGCTGTGTGCATCCATAGACGTGCACAGTGCTGATAAGCCACACTACTGCTGCATGCTCACAAGTATTTGACTGACAGCAGCAGGAGCCTATGGCTCTGCTGCCCTCAGCATCTCCCATGGGACCAGGAAAGGGAACACCTACAGCTGAGATAGATCTGGAGTGGTGAAAAGAGCCAGGTAAGTGACAACCAAGGTGGGTGGGACAGGTAGTGGGGCATTTTTTTTCACTCTATTGCAGAAAATGCATTAAAAGAACATCTTGTGAACTTAGAACCACTTAAACCTTTCATATGTTCCGGCAAGCCACCGGTTTGTGTTGACTTACACTGTGCTGCTCCATCTTCTCATTCTGCTGGTTGGTCAGCTGTTCAGTCACCTTGAGGGCTTCCTCTAGTGGAGACACTATAGCAGACAGCTCAGTCTGCAGGGAACAAGGCAAAAAAAAGGTTATTGGAGTAGCCAACCACAATAGTTTATGAGCAGCTATCATAACACACACCACTTACTCTGTACACCCCCACGGCATCCAGGATGGGAAGGAAGTTGTGACTTGCATGTTTCAGGGAGTCCCGACAGATGACACAGCTCAGGGTCCCGTCATCCTTACAATACAGCTTCAGCCTCTCGTCATGCTCGGGGCATTTCTCGAGGGGGCGGACCTTTTCTTTCCCGACAGGTTTAGTAGGGGTCGGGGTGGCAGCAGCACCAGCAGTCTTCTTCACCAGGTTGGCCAGGATTCGGTTGGTAGTGTATCTTTTGTCGGTTATTTCTTCCTTACAGTCGGGGCACGTGAAGGAATCCCGACCCTCCCAGGCCTTGTCAATGCAATTGCGGCAGAAGTTGTGGCCACATTCGACCATGACTGGGTCCTTGAAGAGCTCATTGCACAGCAGACAGGTCAACTCCTCGGCAAAATCCCCGGAGGCCACGACAGGGCTGTTGTGTGGAGCTTCATGGACCTCCACTTTGGCTTTCTAGAAGATAAAGAAGAGTCAGAGATGGTAGGGGACTTCTACAGGCAGAACATCCGCTGCGGGGCTCACACAATTCATTCCTGCAACAAATTTTCAAGCAACTTCACTGGAGCGCAAAGTCATCCTCCTTATGAAATGTATATACTGGTAATGGTCTCCAAAGAGATCTATGGGTAAAAATGCTACACGTGGCATCGTAAGTCTCGGCGGCTGACCCTTCCCTCTGGGTTTATCAAGCAAGCCATAGTCAATGCTAGACCAAAATATTGACTCGAGGGCAGTACCGCTTCTACCTGCTGGTTTTTAACCACCTTCCGCCCACCATATAATGAAATGACGGGCGCAAGGTGGTTCTCTTGTTCTGAGAGGATGTCCTATGACGTCCTCCCATTCTAAGAGCAATCAATGGAAAGAGCCGAAGATGTCGGCTCGGTCATGTGATCAGCTGTGTCCAATCACAGCTGATCGCATGTAAATAGGGAAATGTCGGTTATCGGCATTTCTCTCCTCACGAGCTGTCACACTGACAGAGGAGAGGAGAGCCGGTAATCGGCATCCCTCAGAGGGGTCATGTGCACTGATGATCAGTGTACCCCAGCAGTCCCACCTGTCAGTACCCATCAGTGCCACATATCAGTGCCTACCAGTGCCCATCTGAGCTGTCTTTCAGTGTCACCTATCAGTGCCAGCCTATCAGTGCTGCCCTTTCAGTGCCCATCAGTGATGCCTGTCAATGCTCATCAGTGCCACCTACCAGTGCCTCCTCATCAGTGCCCATCAGTGCAGCCTATCAGTGCCCATTTCTGCAGCCTCATTAGCGCACATCAGTGAAGGAGAAAAATCACTTATTTACAAAATCTTATAACAAAAACTAAAAAAATTTTTGTCCCCCAAAATTTTTCAGTGGTTTTTGGTTTGTTTAGCAAAAAATAAAAACCCAGAGCGGATTAAATACCACCAAAAAAAGAAAGCTCTGTCTAAAAAAAAAAATGACAAAAATTTCATATGGGTACAGTGTTGCTGGATGACCGCGCAATTGTCAGGAAGGGGGAAAGTGTCCTGGATTCAAAGAGGGTGTGTCCAGACAGCGACTGAAGGGTGAGCCAGACTGGAAATTGGCCTGTGCAAAGGAACTGGGGGGTGAAAGTGTCCTGTAAAGGCCAGGGAAGGGGTGGGAAAGTGTCCTGTAGGCAGGAAGGGGGTGAAAGTGTCCTGTAGGCCAGGAAGGGGGGTCCAGACTGGAAGAGGGTGAAAGTGTCCAGGACTGGAAGAGGGTGAAAGTGTCCGACTGACCAGACTGGAGGAATAGTGAAGAGGGTGAAAGTGTCCAGAAGAGGGTGAAAGTGCCCTGTAGACTGGCCAGAGGGAGGTTAAAGGCGGACAGCTCAGGAGGTTCTGGTGATTGTGTGAAAATGCCCAAGGGGGTAACAAATAGGTTTGATACTTAAAATGGTTTTAAACCTCAGGCATGAAATAGGAACAAAGCATCTCTCTCTATAGTGTGTACTTGTCTCAGTCCAGAGCACTAAATATAATTTCTGTCTGCTGCTTCTTTCCTCTGCCATCAGCATACGTCACTTCTGACAAGTTATCCTGACACCAAGAGAAAAATGGTGTCAGTTGAGGAGCTCCAGCAGATTGACAGCCTCAGCTCTGTTCCTGTGTGGAGGGGAAGTCTCTTCCCTTCAATCAGCTTTTTCCCTCACTGAGCTCTACAGAGTGTAATTTTAGTTCCCCGTCCTTTTTTCTGAACTCTCAGACAAGCTTTACAAATTCAGCACTTTGACCGGATGTAGAGAAGAGAAGGCTGCAGATAAACAGGTACAACTCATGTACGAGGATTTGTATCATCTCTCTGTATCACCTGACTCCAGTCACTTCACTGGTATATTGGAAGGGTTTACAACCACTTTAAAAGAAGAAAGTAGGCAAAACTTTATTTTCCCATTTTGGATAGAGCAAGGGAGGGCTGACAGATTTTTTTTTTCGCCATCTGTTTTCCGTTGTGGACATTTCTCTTCACTTCTTGTCCCATAGCCAGACAGGAAGTGAGAGGAAATCCCTGCATTCCTTGAGGATCCCCAGGTCACCAGAAGAAGATTTCCCCTCTATCACTTTTCTGGGGACAACCCAAAATTTGGGATTCTCTTTTCTTTTCGATGATGAGGGTAAATCCCACTAATAGGGGCAGAGACAGCAATAAAAACTGACAGGCGTTCTAATCCCTCTGCGCTTTACCCAAAACTTATAAAAAGTTTTGCCTTTAGTTATACTTGACCTCCAGGTAGGATTTTACCTGCATACCTATGTTGGTCCAGCTTGGCACACTATGCATATTCAGACTTGAGGGGCCGCTGGGTCAGCTGACAATCAGTGTAGTATTTGCTGCTACTACAGTGATGGCTGCAATTCTCCCTGTCCTGTCCTAAGCAGCTTCCCCTCTGCACAACGCCCACAGGGTGTGCTTGCTTGGCACTGCCGCCATTCACAGAACAACGTGCATTCTTTTTTTTCTTTGATTACTAAATATTCTCTGACTGGATGTGGTGGAGATCATGGACTCACAACCTCTCCACCTAATCCAATCAGAGAATGCCTTGTTTCACTGAAAAATGACAAAAAAAAAAAAAAAAATCACAATCATTCGGTGAATGACAGCAGTGATGAGACACAGGAGTCAGATGATATAGGCAATCTGTAGTGCCGACTAGTACAGTGATGTTAGCGCCCCCAGTGATCCCTCAGCTATGAGATATGTATGCCTACATTGTACCATATATAAAGAAACCGGTGCTACTGCCCCTGGCAGTACTGAGGTCATTGGTTCGAATCCCAACCACAGCACCACCTGCCTGGTGTTTATGTGTTCTCCCTGTGCCTGCATGGGTTTTCCTCCTGTTTCCTCCCACACGTCAAAGACATGCTGGTAGGTCAGTGGTCGGCAAGCCGCGGCTCGCGAGCCACATGCGGCTCTTTACCAGCTTAAATGCGGCTCTTCTGTGTGCGCCCCCTCACCTCCCCTCGGACGGCCACCCGCTCCCCTCCCTCCTCTCGGGCGACCGCCCCAAAAGTCAGGACTCTGCAGCTGTCAGGATGTAGGCGTGGGCAGCCAGGATGTAGGCGGGGCAATCGCGGTTGGCAGCGTGACGAACTCCTCTCCTCTCACATCCGCCCAGAAGACCAGAACGGCACGGCGGAGAGGAACCGCGCGTGGCAAAGGTAAGTGAATTGACTACAGGGGGGACTTACTATATGGGGGATGAATTAACTTTATGGGGGGACTTACTATATGGGGGAGGAAACTTACTATATGGGGGATGAATTTACTAGCACTTACTAATGGGGGGGACTTTATAATGTGGGATGAATTACTATATGGGGGGGACTTACTATATGGGGGGGACCTTACTATATGGGGGGGGACTTACTATATGGGGGGAACTTTACTATATGGGGGGGGGGAATTACTAATGGGGGGGGGAAATTACTATAGGGGGGGGGAATTTACTATATTACTATATGGGGGGGATTAATTACTATATGGGGGGGGGGCTCATTACTTACTATATGGGGGGGGAACTTACTATATGGGGTGGGAACTTAACATACTATATGGGGGGGGGCATATGGGGGGGGGGGACTTACTATGTGGGGGATGAATTATACTATGGGGATGATACTATATGGGGGGGGGGGTTACTATGGGGGGTAGAATTACGATGGGGGGACCTGACTTACCTCCTTAAGTTATATGGCCGGGGGGAATTTACTAAGGGGGATTGAATTTACTATAACCACTGGGGGGATGCAATTACTATGGGGGAATTGACATTACTATGGGGGGGGGGGGGATGAATTACTATATGGGGGGGGACCTATATGGTGGGACTTACTATATGGGGGGGGGGGGGGGTGGGGGGGGGGACTTACTATATGGGGGGGGGAACTTAACTATATGGGGGGGGGAAGGGGAATTACTATATGGGGGGGGGGAATTACTATATGGGGGGGGGAATTACTATATGGGGGGGGGGGGATGGGGAATTACTATATGGGGGGGGGAATTACTATATGGGGGGGGGGGAAATTACTATATGGGGGGGGGGATTACTATATGGGGGGGGGGGGGGGGCGAATGATTACTATATGGGGGGGGGGATGAATTACTATGTGGGGGATGAATTACTATATGGGGGATTGAATTAACTATTGGGGGGATGAATTACTATATGGGGGATGACTTACTATATGGGGGATGGGGGGAATTACTATATGGGGGATGAATTACTAATGGGGGATGAATTACTATATGGGGTGGTGACTTACTATATGGGGGGGACACATACAATGTTGGGGCCCTGAAACCCCTCCATACTATTTCCTGGGGGTACTGACACCTATGATGGGGGGATACTATTCCTCCCACTGAATTACCAATGATGGGGCTTCACTACATGTGTGCATCCAATTACTCCCACTGACATTCCACCCACCAATGATGGGGCACTATTCCTCCCACTGACACCAATGATGGGGCACTATTCCTCCCACTGACCACCAATGATGGGGCCACTATTCCTCCCACTGACACCAATGATGGGGCACTATTCCTCCCACTGACACCCGAGTGATGGGGCACTATTCCTCCCACTGACACCCATTGATGGGGCACCTATATTCCTCCCACTGACACCAAATGATGGGGCACTATTCCTCCCACTGACAACCGATGTTAAGGGCACTATTCCTCCCACTGATACCAATGATGGGGGCTCTATTCCTCCTACACTGACACCAACAATGGGAAACTATTCCTCCCACTGAAACCAACGATAAGTGATGGGGCACTATTCCTCCCACTGACACAACGATGGGGCTACTATTCCTCCCACTGATACCAACGATGGGGCTCTATTCCTCCCACTGACACCAAGGATGGGGCACTATTCCTCCCACTGACACCAACGATGGGGCTCTATTCCTCCCACTGACACCAAATG